TCCCCAGCTGTGGGTGGAAATTCACCAGGGATGACTAACAGAATTTTTCCACCCTGGAAACAGAGCGCCCTGGTCCCTCTTTTCCTCCCAGCTAGGTAAGACCTTCCATTCTTGCAGATACTGAGCTTCTCACCTACTTGTGGGGACCCTGCAAATAGTCTCTTGGCAATTTCAGCTCCCTCACGCTCTCAATACTTTTCCTGTGACTGCAGGTTTAGCATCATTCACCTCCCTGTTCAGGATTGTAACACATCAGAGGGAAGAGTCACTTCCCAGGAACAGTGTTGTGCCAGGCAAAAGTGCTCTGTGGTTTATAATTTTTCTGCTGAACTGTCAGAATTAATAATTTTTATATTGCTCCCTTTCTCCTTTGCAGACAGCTACGGAAATATTGAACCTGCCCTGGAGCCGGTGTGGGCTTTTGCTGTTGCTGGCAGCAGTTACATAATGTGGGAAAAGTCAACAGAGAACTTGGGTTACTCCATGGCACAAGTGAAGTCTGCGAAGCAGTGGGTAAGCAGAGGGAAGTGACACGTCTGCGTTACAGAAGCTAACAGTCTACCACGCAGCAGAGACGAAAACAGCCGTCAGCAGCTTGCACTCTGTCATGGGTGGGATTCTCCTGAAATCCCAGTGGCTTCTCTATACAAGTATCTCCATGTCTGGACAAGTATTTTGTCCAGGTTTTTGGTGGAAAAATTTTACTCATTTGGACAAAATTTGGTTCTCCTCCTTTGCATGAGTGGATCTGTTGGCTTCTGCAGATTTAACTGGGAGATTTCAACGTATGGTCCTGCAGTTCATCAGCCCCACGCTAAGTCGCTCCTAGTACCCTCTGCCCGCCTAGCCAAGCGCACAGGCAGCACCAGTGTGGTATGGGGAACACACCTTACACCCGCAGCACACCAAACTGGGGTTCACAAGGCTTTGTTTCCCTCTGTGATCAATAGCGTTCAGTTTTTACTCCCTAGTTATATAGAATGATATTTTTTTCAAGGAGAGATTACTAGTCAGGTAAGATTCTCACATTTATTTGAGGGCTAACTCAATCAATTAGCATCTGACTCAGCCTAGTTTCACAGCAGAGACCAGACTGCAGAGCCACGCTGCAGTTCATGCCTTCAAAGCTGTTATGCAGGAAGTGCTCCTAATTCCCCGTCTCCGCATGTACAAAACCTGTCTTACTCCAGATGACTGCGGCCATCTCGAGCTGTATTCATCTTATGCCTTAAGCAAGCTAAATGCAGGCAGGTAAATCAGAGTAGACTCTAAACATCATCAATTGATAATTTTTTTTCTCTTTGATACATGTCCAGATAAGGAAAGATGATTTTATTGAGTTTGACTACACTGTCCTACTCCATGAAGTTCCAACACAGGTAAGAAAGCAGAAGCGTAGAATACTTACTTTCATCAACAGAGAAACAGCATAGAGCTCATAAATGATGTGTGTTTCTAAATCTGTTCTCCAGGAAATTATTTCATGTCACATGCGGCTCACTTGGCTTCCTGGTCACCCTATGAAAGTGAAATACTTCTGTGCTTCAGAGACGCAGGAGGTCGAAGATGGATCTGGAATGGAACCTGGATCAGCTGCTGGGATTTTGTATGGAAGGGGAGCAAATTTTTAAGAGAGATGTCAGCTTTATGGATATGTATTAAATGAGAAAATTCTTGTGTTAATAGACCTGGAGTTGTGAGAATTTTTCTATACAAGTCGCACAACAGTGGATTTGAATGCTTTCAGCAGTCTGTTTTGTTCCAAAATTAATTCCTCTGACTTCCTTAACTGCATAAACCATGTTCTGGAGTTCTACCTAAAAACTTTGCTACTACATATAGACACAGATAAACATACACAAGCTGGTTTCATGTCACTAACTTACTGTTACTTAGAGTAACATAGTTTGTAAACAAAGTTAATATATTTGGATAAAAATCTTGATAAAAGTATTAATCTGTCACTAAGAAATATTTGTCCACTGATTTTTTTAAAAATTTTTTTTGGGATAGATACACGCTGATTTTTAACTTACATCTCCAATAAAACCAATACCAATACGCAGGGCTGAGGTTGGGTTTTCTTTCATGCTGCTGCTGTGTGACCCCAACTTTCCATTGTCTCCCAGTGTCTGGCCTTTAAAAGGATGTGGACGAGTGTAGGCAGCGAAATGTCTCCCCACAAGGCCCTCCAGCAGCCAGGAATCAGCAGCCGCGTGGCCCCAGTCCCGCTGACGCACTGCCGCTCCCTGCAGTGGGACATCACATAAAAATAAGTTTCTTCTCGCGTATTTGGGAAAGCAACTCAGAAAATATTGATACAAGGAAAACTCAGAAAACATTGATGTAAGGAAAACATGTTTTGTTGTCTGCCCACATCTGTCACCAGTCCAGAACACTGCAAGGCAGCGTTTGTCAGACAGAAATTGAGGATTTTGGCTTTGCCTGTTTGCAGTTCTTGCTGTTACCTTGAACGAAAACAGAACTGCAAAGACAGGAGGGCTCCGTGCGGATTAATTTCTACATTTGGGTCTGGTGGGGGAACAGCCTTCTGCCAGAACTCCCCATCCAACAGCTCGGGTATTACCGACGGACAGGCCTCGTTCTCATCCTAAATACCACAAAGTCCGGTCACAAGAAGATGTTTCTGTCCTTTCACACCAAATTTGGGGTTACAGCAGACCCACTCTCCTGCCTCCATTTTCTGAGAGTGGTAAACTGGCTGGAGATCATAATTATTTTTCTCCTCATTAGCAAGATTTGTGCTGGGTTAAATTAACTGCGTATCAATGAGCACACCCTGCTGAGAAAAACAGGCCACGGGCTCTGCCTGCTGGGGTGGTGATGTTCTTTGTAACTCCTGGCAGACTGCGCCGTCACTGATCTGTAATGGGTAAGGATGATGAAGGTATTCAACAGGAAACCTTTAACTGGGGAATATTTAGGCTGGGTGATCTGTTAACCGCCCAAATTCAGGCATTTTACACAGTGTGTTAGTCTGATGTACTGACGGAAGCTTTTTCTATCAGCACATAACAGGTGTTACAATAAATTCAGTGAAGCAGCACTTCACATACAAAAACATTTCTTAAAGTAAATGGTGATGAAAATATTTTTTTACCGTTAAAACAAGAAGACAGCATGGATTTTGCACTCAGTGGCTCTACTTCAGCATTGCTCAAGTTAACTTAACCACAAGTTTAATTTCCTTACCTTGTTTTTCCCACTGCTCTCCAGATCCAGAACAGAGGATCAGGCACTTCCAACTTGCCAGATCGGTGGAACTTTACTAATAAGCAACGTAAACTTACGCCAGCTAAGAAACTGCACAATAACTTCTGGACAACCTGTTGGCATTCAAAGGCAAAATTTCCACCAGCTTCTTTAGGGCCAAGATTTCGGTCGGTGGATCAGAACCTAAAATCAGACAGTTTTTACTCAAGTGAAATTCTCGGTTACATCACTGTACATCAGTTATTCAAGTTGAGGCTTGGGCAGGCTCACAGTGATTTCTCCACACTGAAAAACCCACGCCGAGCCTGTTTGTAAGGGGTACAGATGAGAGGAAGAGCTCTCGTCCATCTTTGTTGCAAGGAAGAGTTCAGCTAAGTCAGATACACTACAAGTGCTATCTAAAATTTGATTAAAGAAAAAAAATTGACCTCTAATAAGCATAATATAAAAGCCATAAATATAAATAGAATAACAACCACCTCATTTCTTTCTTGCATTCATACTATTTTTATAAGACATCTTTGAATTTTGGTAAATGTGCTCCATTTGCTTGTTTAAGAAAATCTCCAAGTGTCAGAGAACCTGCAGGGCTTTTCTTGAAACGAGTTCCAGCTCAGGATTTTCACAAAAATAAAGCTAAAAATAAAGTAAGGGATTCAGAAGGATTTGGCCCAAAGCAGCATCATACTCGCATACAACATGCCTGGGTTTAGTCAGTATTTACGTGCCCCTGGCAAATCTCCGACACTGTGCTTTTTTCAAGGTTAAAATAAAGGATTTTCACCGTCATTCTGTGAAGGCTGAGGAGAAGAAGCCCGGCCATGGCAGTTCTGCCTGAGTCTGGTAAACATCAACTGCAATCCTGTGCCAGGAATGTGGCCGGTTTAGAACTGGAAATTCACTCTCTGTTTATTGGAAGTCTGAAAAAATGCCGTGAAGCTGAGTAGGTCAGGAAGAGAGAGCACGCAAAGAAAATTCAGAGTGGATCTTCTGGTTGTAATTAAAAAAAAATATTGATGGTACTATCTTCTCTTTCTCTACTAAGTGTAACACCCTTGTTTTATCTCTCTTCTATGAGTAAGCAGGATCATCAACTGATTTTCCCAAGCTGTGCATCATCAGCAACACACCCTTTGGATTGTAAGATTCTGGGCAAAGGAATCTTTTGTTTGGTTTTCTAACAAAGAGCCAAGAAAGCAAGCCCATAAAATAAATCCATGTTGTTCACAGTTTTGGAAGAGTTAACTTCTACGTACAATATTATCAACTCTTTTCAAACACCGTATACCGTCAGCGATAAGCAAGCTGCACTGACAGATGCCTTTGCCCAGTTTGTTAGGACTTTGGAGGTTCCTAGCACTGTTTTGGAAGGATGCGGAGGGAAAACTTACTGGAGCAGGTATGTGAAAAATGCTCAGCGCTGGATGACAATTCACCCCCAGGCCTGTCCAGCAGTTAAGGTTTCGTTTAGTTTCCTGAACTACAATTTTCGAACTTTCAAAACCAGAGAAACAGTAACTTGTGTAGTTACAAAATAATGATGTACCAAGTAAAAAAATTAAATTATTTTAATACAAATGGATTAAGACAAATTTCAAGACAATTATCAGTGTTATAACATTTATATATTTCATTAGCGAGCAGCATTTACATGTGAACAATTCCATTGTAATCTCCTGGAGGCTTCTGAGAATACCACAAAGGAAGGATATTGCGATGAAATTACAAGTCCAAGTTGCACTGCAGCCTGCGCTTATCCAGCCCGCCTCAACTGCTTCTATCGCGCAGAGAACTGAGCTTTAAGAGCAGACAGTGAAAAACTGTTCTGTGTCCTCAAGAGGACAAAAGTCAGCTCTTGGCTTTGCCCTTTTTTGCAGGAAGTCGTCCTGTTGCTTCGAGGTATTTGTTAATTATTTCTTCTTGAGTGCTGGGCAAACACGGTTGGTATTTACAGTATTCCATCGTATATTCACCCTTTCCCTGCGGAGTTGGAAAAGAAAAGCCAAAGTGAGTGTGCTAAACATGCAAACTTGTTTAGCAGCAGGCCAATCTGTGAAATAACATGCAGTAATCATTTATGATGAAGTATACCAACACTGGGCCATGCAAAGACGCACAAACAGCATCAGAACACTGATTCTTCGATACAAGACTGCCTGCGGTTCCCATCTCACCAGTGGGACAATTCTGCTTCAAAACTGAAAATCTTCGCAGTTTTAACAACAACCCGTCCAGGTGCTCACAGAGTACCGCCACCCACGTCACAAGATGTGGAACAGAAAATTTTACAGAACACACAAACTCACCCGATTCAAACGCATTTGATGAGCTTTTAACTACAGGCATGTCTATTATTAAAAAAGGACATCTTAATAACGTGAGCGCTGCTGGCAAAAATCTCTTCTACTTGCAGACGTTTGTAATTAAGGAGTATGCCTCAATGTTTCCAGCTTGGGAATTTAATACCTTTACTGATACCTGTCACTTGGTGTTACTTATGACTTTGAATCTCTTCCCTCCTCAAAGTATGAAAGAATTTATTGACCAAAAATTACACAGCTAATGATGGCTGTGTTAATGACAAAGCAGTTGAAGCAACGGTAAAAACTCTAAGGTAATTTTCCTGTTCTGCATTTGATTTGATTTTTAGCGCTTTTACTGCTGCATATGCTCCGTATGATGATGCAAATTAGCACACCTGATTTACAGAAATAAACACAAGTATTGAGAGTCCTTACCTCTGTGCAAGACCTCAGCTCAGTGGCGTATCCAAACATATCATTCAGCGGCACCTAAAATCCAAGCATACCATTCTTGTAAAAAGATATTTTTCTATCAACTTTGGGTTATCATCCAATTAACCTCAATTACAATATAAAGAGTCAGTAAAATCTGGTGCTCTTTGTGAACAGGACTGATCTACTTTTGTAAAGTACCTCTTATTTCAACTAGTTTATTTTCACACTTGGAAACCCCAAAAATCTCAGAGTCTGAATGCACCTGATGCCGCAGTGTCCCAAATTCAGTAATCTGTGTCACCCAGCAAGAGATCGTAACGTTTGAAATATTTCAAGGCTGCAGCTCCCAACACAATTTCTGAAGCAGGAGAGATGCAGTGTGTGGTTTGTCTTGAGCTAAGGCTTTGCTGACGTGATTTACCCTCCCACCAGTGTTGGATGTACACCTCTCTATGACCTGAGAACAAATACGTTTTCAGAAGGCACATAAAAGAAGGGACACTGAAGACAATTTGCATTGATCTGCAACTATTTCGGTTACTGCGGGGAACAGCTGAAGGAAGACAGCTGACAAAAAGCTCTTTCCCCTGAACTCTGCACACCCGGATCGCTGCACAGGTTTGTTTCACCCGAAGGCAGCACCGTCTGCCCATCCCCAGAAACCCCACTTCTGTTCCTTTCTCTGCCATCTTGTGATTTTAGGTCAGACAGTCAGCTTCTCTGGAGCCAGACAGATTTACAATAGGTTTACTACTACTGCACAATACACTGCCACGAGTTGAAAATTAATGTTATGCTTACCCACTGAGAAACCTGCCTACAAGTTTACACCTATTAGTCACTCAGTAAAACAGTAATGGAGTCGAAAGGCAATGCAAGAAAAGGTGAGAAACCAGCAAACACCACAAACCTCAGCGTAAAGAGTAAAGTAACCCTCTATGCCGTCCTGTCCTGTGATCACTCCGTGTCGGCGATTAATTCCAGCTATCACGGCTCCCTGGAATTCCGTGGGTGCCATCACCTCCACTGCCATAATGGGTTCAAGTATACGCACAGTGGCATTTTCCATAGCTGGAAACCAGTAAATAATCAAACATCAAAGAACGAGCCTGGTATAATTCAAGATACCCCTGTGTAGTGAAGAAGTTTTTTATGGTTAATGCCAAGTGTTTCTTACATCAGTGGGGGAAAGCAATAATCATCTGTGGAATTCCAGCTCCCCTGCCTTTTACGTAATGCTGGGAGGCACACGGTTTGATAAAATGTTCTTTTCATACCCGTGTAAGGATGAAGCTGTTGGCGTTTCTTTAGGAAAAAAGGATTTCCTTCATACAACTAAAAGAATTATTGTGCCTCCCTCAAAATTTCTATGAACTCTTGCATGTATTCTGCTCCACGCCACTGACCAAACATTGAAGGTATGTATGGATACACCAGGCAACAAATGAACCTACAGAAATGACATCATTAAATTTAAATCCAACAATAAAGAAGCCAGCAGGACTACACATTCAAATGACCAGCTTTATACCTTGCTTTAGGGCTCCTTCTCCCGCTCTGATGAAAGAGATTTCATTCGAGTCCACCATGTGATGTGCACCATCTTCCAGGACAAACCGGACTCCAGATATCTTGTGCCCCGACGCTGGACCTTTTTCACATGCGTCTCGGAATCCCTGTCAAATAACATCTCAGAGTTCACAGTTTGTAGACCAAAATGAAGCTTAAAAAAGAGCAGCATTAACAACAGCCTGCAAAAGACATTACATTTAAAACAACAATAACAAAAACCCCCCAAAACCTTTCACAATTTTTAACAGCAATCCCCAATGGACCTTCTTGCTTGCTATGATGGAAGAACATTACAGTGGAGAAAACTTCCCATTCCCAAGCATTTGCAAACTTTGTACTATCATTCTTTGGCACCTCAGTTTGATACTCCTTTTTTTTAAAACTAGACATCGTGTAACAAGCTAAGGACAAGAAAAAGACGTGCTCAGGATTTTGGTTTGTTGAGGGACTGTATGATCACAAACCAAAGAATGCTCTATGTGGAAAGAACTACTCAAACCACTTGACTGAACAAGATTCTTTTAAGAATGCATGTTTTTTCCAGGATTTGGCAAAAATTTTTTGAGTGTTGCATCATGGAATAACAAAGGAACTAATTTAGGTTGACCTGTTATAGGAATGCAAAAATAGGTACTACTTAAATTATAAATGGTGGTAAATTATACAGTTACGGAGAGACAGACACAGAGTACGCCTGCAGAACAGATAAAAAAGAAAGAATATTGCAGGAAATCTAGCTTAATCACAGTTTCCTATGTAACTAGCCTCAGAGAAGTCACAAAAAACATTACATGTTTTGGGGTTAGAGATGAGAATCGTGTGGCTACAACCAAAAGCTGAAGAGGGCCATTAAAAAGGAGATTGAAGAGGAGGCTTGCTTGACTTTTAGACAGGAAAGTCTACCTTCTGCACTGCGGCACTGCTATGGAAACAGAGAATGCACACACCACCAAAGAAAACAAACAGCAGCTTCTGAATTAAGTGGAAAACCCAGGAATGTCAGCTATTAAGCAAAGCCACACAAATTTGATTCTGCTTCCACTGAAGTAATGGGAAAAACCTCCCTGCCTGGGGCAAGACAGTAAATGCAGAAACTATAGCAGGAAAACAACAAGAATCAGTATTTGTTATATTATTACACGCTCAAAATGCTCTGTACCTTTTCAACAGCAGGCACAAATTGTTTGGGAATATTTGTGCCAATGGTTCTGTCTTCAAACTCCAGTTTTGTGTAGTCCTCCGGCTCCAGGGGCTCAAGCACACCTATAACTTTGCCATACTGGCCTGCTCCGCCCGTCTGTTTCTTGTGAACGTATTCAAACCTACAAACAAACAAACCCCCCCCCCAGAACATCACGTTACTCATTACACTAACCACAGTTTGCTAACGGAGGAGTTCCCATTCTGCATTTTGCTTTATTCCACTTGGTTCCGTGTAGCCAAAGTGGCCAGATGCTGCAACAGCGGCTGAAACAGCAGCTGAGGAGATTTATGAGCAGAAAGGGAGGACCAGGGCTCTTCATCGTGCAAGGGGAGAGCTAGGACATCGTGATGAGATTAATCTCTCCGAAAACAACTGCAAAAACAAGCTGCTTCAACGCTAATAAAGCCTGCTTGTGCTTTTCGTTGACTGAATAACAAGGTTTTTTTTGTTTTTCCTGCACAAACGTGCAGCTTCCACCCGCAGAGGGCTTTGATACTAAGCGCAGACACTGAATGAGGGGATAATCGGGGGGAAAACTTGTGAATATAAACTTTTAATAAGCAAAACCAGAGGGATCTGAGCCTCTCTACATCATCTGCCCCCGGTCCCACCGGGCTCGGGGGACACACGGA